ATAAATTTGAATTTGTATTTGATTTGATTTTCAAATCAAATATTCAAATGTCAAATCGAATTGCGGAACCCTAATTATCAGTATTAGGCCAGTCATTAAATATAATTTTATTTAAGTTTATTTCTTCATCTTCATATAACTTCACATTTTTCAAAACTTATTGAATTTCTTTTTCAGATTTTCCTATTCTGTAATATGTTAATTCAAATTTATTGGATGTATTCACAAATTCATTTGAATTGAATTAAGTCAACACCTTAATCCAATTTACATTCACAAATTACAAACTCGATTTGGATTAACACGTACTTCATGATAATGAACTTAAAAAATTTTATCAAATTTTTAACTTTTAATTTTGTTTTATAATATAATAATGAAAAGTTTTAATGAATATGAAAATATGCAAAGTCCTATTAAAATAATCCTTAAAAATAACAAAAAAAGTTTTGTCAATAGAATGAAAATACTATAAAACTATTGCTTTCATTTTTAATAGAATGAAAAAAAGAAGTGACGCAATTAAGTACAAAGTAAGATGAAAATGGTAATACTAAAGCAAAACTTTAGAAAGACGTGTCAGATATGTTACTTAGTAATAATTATTAATATTCTGCTGAACAATGTGCAATTAAATGGAAAAATATAAAAAAAACTATAAGATAACTTTATTTAATAATGTTTAATAAATATGTTCATAAAAATTTAATAATCTATTAGAATGATATTGACCATAATAAGCAAAATAGTAATAATCCTATTGAAGTTTTATATAAAAAGAAATTGGAAGAAATACTTGATAAAAATAGTTCAAGTTTAACTCCAAGATTTTTAGGTAGCAGTTTAAATGATGATATCAATATTGAAGAAAATGATGTTTCATTTAATGAAATAACTGGTTAGAATAAAAGGAAAGAAAGGTCTGAATCTCCTTATGAAAATGAATCACAAAAAGGTTAACAGGTTTGAAGTATGACATGTCAAAAAAATATTGGAAGATTTTATTTATCAAAGAAAAGAAGAGCAAGAATTTAAAAGAGAAGAACAAAAAAGAAAAGAAGTAGAAAAAAAGTAAAAAAAGAGCAAAGACAACGGGAGTTTAATTTGTTAATTTCTGCTTTGCGTCCTAATCTACATATTAATAGTATATAAAGAATAATTATTTAAAATTATTATGAATTATATTTAATTTACTAATTATTTATATATAGATCCTTTTTACTTACAAAATAACATTCGATCTAATTCATTTGAATTATCAGCAATGCAAAATATTAATAATTTTAGTAATTCTTCATCACCTTACCAAAATTTAGATTCAGATAACATGTAACTTTCCCAAGCAAAAAAGAATCAATTTGGCCAAAAAATCTTTTTTAAAACAAATTTCTATTGTAAAATTAATGCTTTTTAATTATATTAGTAATTTTTATCTTTGCTAAAATTTAAATACAATAAAAAATAAAATTTATAGTTTTGATCATAAATGAATTTATTTTATTCTGATATTTCGCTAATATCGTTATATCTATTTCTTCTAATATTTCTTTGAATTTGTTTATCCCACAAATAATTATCTCTTACAGAATTAGTTACTTCATAAGTATTATCATTAATTAATAAAGTTTGAAAATGATTTTAATCATCAAAATACTCAGCATATAATATATTTTCTTGCCTTTCTTCACAAATGTTTATATAAAATACAAGAAGCTATAACAATAAGAATATTTGTTTCTAATGAAGTTGATAAAGGATTATTAAGACATCTAAATCTTGATTTTAATTTTTTAAATGCTTGTTCTATACTGATACAAGTTTGTGAATGTTTAATATTATAATATGTCTGCTTTTTTGTTAATCTTCCAGTATCACGATATGGTATAATTAACCAATTTTGACAAGGATAATCAGCATCACCAAGAATATATGCATTTGTTGATGAAGAAGGATTAAGCATTTGATATTATGAAGAATTACGAAAAATTCTACTATTATGAGTTGAACCAGGATATCCAACAAAAATATCAATAAATTTACTAGACGAATCTATAACTGCTTGTATAACAATTGAGTAAAATCCCTTTCTATTATAATAATCCATAGCAACTTTTTTAGGTGCTTTAATTGGTATATGGCTTCTATCAATTGCTTCTATTGCATATGAAATACCAGCCTTTCTTTTGAATTTTTTGCAATATTATTAAATTCAGAATGATAATTAGAAAATCTATTAAAAAAACAAAAGCATTAGTAATATATTTTATTTATTTAGTAATAAAATTTAATTCTAATTTTCTTACCTAATTTTTGAATGAAGAAAATGACATTTAATCGCATATAAAACAGATCTAATTATATAACATATAGTTGACTCTCCTAATGCAAATAATTGTCCAAGAGTTCGATAACTTTGACCGGTAGCTAAAAACCATAATGTCACAGAAATTTTGTGTTCAATTGGAATTCTTGGAGCGTCTCTTTGGTTGGTACTTTGTAATAATATAGGTGCTAATTCACTACATATCCATTCAAATGCAGCTTTAATTATTCTAAAATGGCGCTTAAATTCTATATTTTCCAACTACTACAAATGTTATTAAGCCAATAAATACTACAAATCCTTCTTGCTTGCCTTTGAATTACATTTAAAGAATTATTTCTTTCAATGGCATTTATACATTCATAAAAATGGATAAATCAACATCATTATCAGTAGATTCTTCAAAGGATGAATCTTCATTTGGTCTAAATACATTTGGAATTATCATGCGTCTTTGAAAATCCATTATTATTAAACTAAGTTTAGATAAATTGAGTGAGTTAAAACTTGCATTACTACAGAGGGTGGACAAAAGTATCTGCACACCCTCTATAAACGCGAATTAATGCTAGAAAAGTCATATGACATGTTAGTGTTTATTTATATTATAAATATAAAAAAATAACAATTTAATTTTTTTTTAATAAATTTTCTTCTCCGAAACTCTAAATAAAAAAAAATAGTAAAAACTAAAGAATTAACTGCAGAACAACGCGGAGCCATAATTTATTGCTATCAATGTGTAATAGTTATCAGACCATTGCTAATACCGTTGACTGCGGAGTGTCAACTGTTCATGATACTATTAATCGATATCGTAATACCACATCAACTAAATCGATACATCATTCTGGACGTCTGCCTTTAATTCCAATCCCACAATGAAATCGCCTTAAACGAATCGTGACGAATGATAAAACTAAAAATCGTCGTCTATGTGCAGCTGGAATACAACAGCTTT